TTCGTAGATGGGTTCTAGCAGTGTCATTACAGTATTAATATTAACCCAATCTTGATCTGTCATATATGAACCTTTAAATTTCGGCACCGAAACTACTAATATATCTGTCATTTCCCGAATTCTACATAACTTGTTCAACATCAAATACAACGAATTCTACCTCATTTCGCAATCAAGATCAGGTACAAGGAACGGTTTGTTTTTCATTGCAAAGATTTTTTTTAATTCTTCTAAATGTGGTTGGGAATGGCGAATAGTACTTGCAAACTCTCGAGCCTTCTTTGTTGATTTATCAATTTTGGAAAGCCCATTTACAATGGCAAGATTAAGTATATGCGCGGCACACCTTAATCGATGAAAAGTGGTATTTTCATAATAGAAGCTCAACATACTTGTAAGGTGTTGACCACAAACATCCATATTGCTAGCATTATCGGCAGTCATTGACAGAATTTTTTTTCCCAAACCAAAGTCTTCGATTAAATTAAAAAGCGTTTCTGCCAGAAAGTAACCCGTGTGCCTTTCATGGAGTGGAATGAAATCCAAAAGTATACGTTGCATCTGCCATTGGTCATCAATCCAATGTAAAGTAACTGATAGAAATGCTTGGTTGGTACATGATGACCATGCATTCGTGGTTATTGAAACCTTATGATTGAATTTTCTAAAATAACTACGCAGCTGCTCTCGTTCATATTTATATAACAACCTGACGTAAGTTGAAACTGTCTGTCTTGTAGGTAATTTGTAACGGGGATTGAGTTCGAAAATAAAGATTCGAAAGTCCTTATCCTCAACGACGCAAAATGCTTGCTGATTACATATAATCCAACGAACAAGAAGTTCGTTTAACTTCCTTACTTTCTCTTCATCATGAACACCGTAAGGTTCCACTTCCTGCGAATCAGATCGATATTTTCGGTATTCTGCTTTGTGATTGCTTTCGAAATGACGTTTAATAGTACTAATGCCGGAACCTTTTCCATAAGTTCCATTTGGATGCTTGCATAGTTTGCATTGAATAAATTGTTCGTCCGAAGAAGCTATAAAATAGGCCCAAAGAGGGTGTGCATTTTTGCATCGTTTGATGCTTCGTTCATCAGGTCTTTCAGTATTCGCCTCATTATGCCGAGCGACATTTAAAAAATTTATATCCGGAAAGGAAGAGGTAGGTGTAGGGTTTTGTGAAGATTCAGAGTTGTTATTAAATGACATGATACTAATGTGATTTGTGAGGGTTCTAATTTTTTGTTGAGAATCGTAATACATAGTGATGCCTTCAACGCCTTTATATACGCAAATATAAAAGTAAAAAAAAAACTTGCGAACAAAACACACCACATTTTTGATAAAAAAAACAATTATCGACAAAAAAAAACAATTGTCAATAAGAGGATAAAGGAGGAAGTGTTCGACTAAATGTACTT